TGTCCAGAAAGATTCTTTAGTTTGTAATGTATAAGAGGGTTTAAAACTTTTTGAAAGTTTTAAAAACCAACTTATGTTTGAATCACATCCCAGATCTTTAAATGACCTTTAGAGTATATTAGAATTTGGCATACTTAATAGTTTTCAGATATCCTCCTAAAATTGTCATGAACACAATTATATAGTTGGAAGTGTCAGAATACTACAGTAGGTGAGTTCCTACTTTCTCAATGAAATCTTCCCACATTGGAGTGAGTATGTAGACTCACCTGGAAAATAGAGTATGAAGAATTTATGCAAACAATGAGAGAACAAGAATAAACATAACAATGCAAATATGGGCATGTGGGGACACTAAAGGAGACAAATGCAAAACAAGTCATTATGACCTAAATGAAGACAAACAGAAATGACTTGGAAAATAAAATAAAATGTAATTGACTTACCAGGCAAAGAAGAAAATGAGAGTGGATTAGTAAAATGGTGGTAATGATTTCATTGGAGGATAGTCACAATTTATTGATTATACAAAATCTTATGAAAAAGTCCTCATATTTTAAAGTGAGACTATTTCCTCTGGCTATGACTACATGTTTTAGGAGTTTATATTTCATTACCCCAACATTTCATCTTTGAGACTTGTATGCTCTTTTAAAATGTGCAAAAATGTCATGGTTAAACAAGATTATCTGCATTGTTGTTAGGATACGTACAGGGCGGGTTTCTGGAGAAACCCGCGGAATATCCTGTAGGACTTGGCTTCAGCTTATAGGCTGCACCCTTGCTAGATCGTGTCGTCCAATTTCAGACAGGTGGGCGGGAATCCCGGGGAGTCTGGGCAGGGGTCGTGGGTCGAGGGGTCATACATAGGTCAGAGGTCATGGGTTGTAGGTCGAGATAGGTAAGAGTGATAGATGCGCCGGAGCCCATGGGCTCTGACTAGTGTGAGCAGTGTAATTCAAGTAGGAGTTTAGAGTGGAAAATGTATTAGATTACTGGGGGGAATCTAAGCCAATTTTCTGACTGGATTGTATGTACAACATCTGCCAGTTTAAATAGACCGTGGAGTGAATGTCATACCAAATCCAGTAATAATGAAACAAAATGAGCAAAACATAAAACAGGAATAGTAAACACCAAATTGGTGTTAGGAACGGGACAGAACGGAGCGGAGTCCGAATAGTGACAAATCATAAACCATAATGGAAAATGGAGCAGAAGCGGAATCTGAATCGTGACAGGTCATTTGACTAAAACGGGAATGGGGCTCTGTTAGAGGGAAGACGGGTATTCTGAGTGGGGTCCAGTGACTGACATGCGGGACGAGGTCGGACATAGACAGAGATGGAGTCCGGTGGGTTTTCTGGTGACTGAAACACAACATAACAAAGTCGAACGTAGATGAGTCTGATGTACGGAGTCCAGTGGTAATTCCGGTGAACTGATAATGGGTGCGTATAGGGCACGGGTGTGTATAAGTTAGTGCCCGTAGTCCAGTGGGATTTCCAGTCGTAACAGTTGTTACCTAATCTTTGGGATAAAATGCATTCTCTAGTATCTCTGTGACTTTTAAAATATCCACAAACTTCATGGTCAAACAAGATTATTTGGGTTATGACTTAATCTTGGGAATGAGATGCATTCTCTTGTATGTATACATGCAAACTTTCAAATATAGTTCATAGAATTAAAATTATTTAATTTAGGAAGTTAACCAGAACTATCTAGCCAACCAATCCATGTTGTAGAATTTATCCCCAAAAGGATAATGTATATATGTTTATTTGACTAAACATTTGTCAGATACAAGATACAGTGACCTCAAAAACCCTTTCCATGTTGACCCCAAATGTAGTGTTTGAAGAACACCGCCTTACAGCGTGGGAATTACACTTAGCTTTGGTGGAGTCATACATAGTACATCCTCTTGGCTAATTGCTCCCTGGGTCATGTGATTCTGATCACAGGGTGTAGAGATATGATTAATTTAAAACAGCAATACCATGGAAAGGGTTTTTGCACTTTTGAACTGAACAGGGTATTTACATATTATCAGTACTTGGTATAACCACCTTTTGCTTTAAGCACTGCCTGAACCCTTCTAGGCATGCTTTCAATCAATTTCTGACACTCCTCAACTGGTATTCTATCCCACTCCACTTGAATCCTTTCCCACAATTCATGAATTCCATTGGGGGGGTTTTCATGCTCTGCAAGCCTTCTCTTGAGACAACCCCAGAGATGTTCAATAGGATTCAGGTCTGGGGACTGTGCAGGCCAAACCATAGCCCTGAATTCTTGCTCTTCTAGCCAGTTCTTGACTAGCCTGCAGGTATGCTTAGGGTCATTATCTTGCTGAAAGATGATGTCAGAAGGATTGAGACCATAATACTCCAGGGTTTGCTGGAGCTCATCCTTCAAAATTTGAAGATAGAGGTCTCCATCCATCCTACCATCAATCTTGCTAGCAAAGCCAACTCCCTCCCAAGTCATACAACCCCACATCATAAGAGAACCTCCTCCAAACTTCAGAGTTCCCTCTACCAGCCTATCATTAAGGCCTTCACCTGCCCTTTTCCATGCCCATTTACGTCCATCTGACCATAGGCGATTGATTTTGGTTTCATCAGACCATATAACCTTCTTCCAGTCCTCCATAGTCCAATCTTTGTGAGCATAGGCAAAGTCCAAGTGAGCTTTGTGATGCCTAATGGAAAGAAGGGGGCATTTTGACTTGACCACAGCCTTCATACCAGCTTTCTTCAAGTGGAGGTGAACTGTACTGGCAGAAAGGGGCTGGTTGATAATGTTGGTAAGGGCTTTGGTCACTTAAACAGCATTTTCAGCTTTGCCAGAGGTGATGAGATGCTGAGCATGTCAAATATTTGTAGGAGAAAGCTTTGAGGGACAACTCCCAACAGCTTTGGGAAGGAGAGAACAATGTTTGGAGCGAAGTTTGGATATGGCAGATAAGCTAACACCAGTTCTCTTGGCAATAGCTTCACCAGAGTGGCCAGAATCAAGCAAGGAGAGGATGGTATTTTGTTGAGTAAGAGAGAGGGATCTGACCATGATGGTGGTTAGGAATCAAGAAGTGTGGAAGTGTGAGAACTTTTTTAAACTCAGACATACTATTTACATGTATATATCTATTTGTACCAACAAATAATAGCCATTATTCTATGATTTGACTGAGATCCTAGTCATCAGTTCAAAAGTGCAAAAACCCTTTCCATGGTATTGCTGTTTTAAATTAATCATATCTCTACACCCTGCAATCGGAATCATGTGACCCAGGGAGCAATATTGTAGCCAAGAGGATGTACTATGTATGACTCCACCAAAGCTAAGTGTAATTCCCATGCTGTAAGGCGGTGTTCTTCAAACACTGCATTTGGGGTCAACATGGAAAGAGTTTTTGAGGTCACTGTAAATATTAATATTTCCTTATTCTCCAGAATGTCACTTGATGGACTGAATGTGATGAAATATTAATTCTACAGCAAACAATATAAATACATATACTTGAGTAGATACATAAATAACTTTTAAAGTTGTGGGTTATCCTCCACTGTGATGCAAAGAATGACATCATTGTTGTTGGGTGTTATGAACCACTAAAATAGGAAACAGAAATGAAACAATGTTGAAAAACCATTGGATGGCTACAAATGAATAAGAAGTTACATTCAAAAAGTGCATAGTCATTTTTGATGTCAACTCACATATCTGTAAGAGAGACAAAAGTGGTGGTTACAAGTTAAAAGAAGGCATGGTGTTGGCAATCTTAGACAGAAACCAAAAAATATATGAAAGGTGACTGATGAGATAAATTAAAAAGGGAAGTGAAAGATCACAAACATTATGAAATACACAAAAACAAATACATGACTATAAAATGCATCAGAAAACAGGGGAAGCAATGAAAAACAAAAAGCAATGGTGGTTATGTTAGACAAAAAACTAAGCAGTGTGCAAAAGATGACACATGAATACATTGAAAAGGACAGGGAAATGTGGTGAGCATTATGCAAGACACCAAATGTTTTGCAGAAGATGCAAAAAATGATATATTTGTTGCTGATATTAATCCACATGGACCATTCATGAAGTGATAGATTTCAGAGAGGGCTTATTATGTAACTTCCTCATCTTTCCTATCTGAGGTCATGGCCTCTACACAGTGTGTTAGAAGTGATCACTGGCCATATTTCACAAATAGCAATGACCCCAACGTGTTTACAAAGAGATGTCAGTGTTTGACTGCTACAGCTATATCTGTGTTCAGTGCAGTGCCTAAGATGCGCTTGCTGGCTTCCAGGACTGCACCTGTAGTTGTTCTGCAGCAGTCCATCTACCCAGTTGACAATATGTGGCAGCCAAGTTGGGCCTGTGTCTGGGTGTTCAGTGCTGAGGATCTGCTCCCTGGCATCAGTTGTTCTATATCAGTCCATGTACCCAGCTGATAATATGTGGCAGCCAAGCTGGCCCTGGCACTCAGTGTCTCTGGGTGTTGAGTGGCTAGGAGCAGCTCCCTGGCCTCCAGCACCTGCATGCATAGTTGTCCTGTATCAGTCCATCTACCCAGCTAATAATATGTGGCAGCCAAGTTCAGCTAATCTTTCCCTTTCCATCATGTTGTTGATGTGCAAGTAGAAGTCCTCCATGTGAATTGCCAGCATGAGTGGCCCGATAACTCTGTATGCTTTCCTTGAGCAATGGCATTATTTGCCCTAATTGCATTAATACTTTCCCTACTGTGAATTGCACAGAAGGGTAATTTATTGATACATGCATCCAACTGGTTGGAGTGGGACGGTCCACAGTAGCCACTGTGTTGGAAATAGTGTGTCAGTGGAGGAGGTAATTTAAGACCATACTGTATGTAATACCAACCACTGTTCCATCTATATTGCTCTGATTTCAGTATGTATATAATCTAATATGAAAGGCACTTGAGGTTACACCCTTAAGTACAGTGTAAGAATGGAACTACACAAGGTCAGGTCTAGTGGCAACACCCTTGCTAGACATGCAAAGACCCTGGGTTCAATTCCCAGTCTGGCCATTCATTTTCTACATTTTTCAGTGTGTTGGTGAGCACACTCTTGAACCAGCTGTGTTTGGTGTATCTCAAGGGAATCCAGATGAGGATGTAGAAGAAGGACTCCAAATCATCAGTGGGGACCACTGGTAGCTGACCAGGGGTGGGAACCACCAGTAAATGAGTAGCCATAAATTACCAGGTACCCTGTCCATGATGGAAACAAAGAGAAAAGAGTTACACAAAGCTGAAGTCAAGTCCTGACCCTACCCAGATGTATCTGAGTTCCTGGTTATTTCTCAATAGTTCTGGAATAAGTCCCAACATGGAACTTAACATCACTTCCAAATCATCTCAAAGGAATCCATCCCATATTTAACATTTGGAGCTAAGGCTTTTCCCGGTCAAGTTCTCGTCATATCTACAAGAAATTTGATTGAGGGCACATACTTGTGCAGATCAGAAGCTTGAAATATTTAAGGTTGCAGAGATTGAATAAAAGACTGATTGGCAGGCACAGCAGGCACTTCGGTACGGATGTATTCAAGTACCTGAAATTGTAGACCATTGAGCTTTCCGCGCCCAAAAAATGCACTGGGATGCATAGTATAACCTGTCATTTTTTGCGGTCGTCCGCTTGGTTCAATTCTGAATATTCATTCCATTCCTCCCAACCAAGTTCTCGGAGACTCGATGGAATACTATGCGAATAAAGATTGACCGTGTACTTGACGCGGATGGTGGCCTTGGGTCCGGGGCCACGCTTGGGCAGGAACCATCGCGGTTGGATTTATATGGTGAAAAGACGTGTCATTGGGATGGCGCTGAGTCCATAAAGGGCGTTTCTTACTTTTTCAAACTGCTTCTAACTGGCGGTTCAAAAAATCCACACTCCGTCTAGCTTATAACTTCAATCAACCCTGTAGCTTTGAACTCTCCATCTCAGAGAACTTCCGGACATTTAGCTGAGAGCTGAGCCAATCACTCCTCATTCAATATGGCGACTCCCAATGTGTCCTTTGAAATTATTGTTGCCGGCAAGCCAGCGCAAGTCGACGCTTACCGTATAAAACTCGCTTGGTAATATGGCTTCAGGGGTCGTATTACCTTCAGACTCTTAGATGATGTCGTACCCAAGACTGCCCGAAATTTCCGTGAGTTAAGCACTGGTCAAAACGGCTATGGCTATAAAGGCAGCCGTTTCCATCGTATTATCCCCCAGGTGATTGATTTTTTATCTTATGATTTATATTAGAGCTCATGCACTCTCCTAGTTCATGATTCAAGATAGTTTGTTACCCATTTCTAAGTATAATCACAACTGACAATTATTGTAGGCGGTGACTTTGCCAAACACGGCGGAACCGGTGGCAGATCAATCTATGGGCAGAGCTTTTTAGGTTAATATCGCTCATGTTGTGGAAATATCGATCTATATACCAATCATTCCATTTTTAGACGAGAAATTTATGCTCAAACACGAAAGGCCTTTCCTCCTCTCCATGGCTAAGCCCTAACACCAACGGTGCTCAGGTGCGTCATCCGGCCATCGCATGCCTCGCAATGTCACACACCAACCAGTTTTTCATTACCACCATTTCTACCAGTGTAAGTCACCTACACTGCTGTATCTTCAGTAGTAGAACCAACCTCTAATATTTTTAGTGGTTCGACGGGAAGCGCTGTGTGTTTGGAGAAGTCGTTGAAGGCCGAGAGGCATATTCATTCTCAATATCACCCGACATATTAAGTCGCTTTACAGCTCCTGAAGCAAATAGAGGCACTTGGATCTGGATATGGCGCCCCCAAGGAAATAGTAGTCATCACCAACTGTGGAACCTTGTAAACGGTGTGACTCTGAAGGGCTCGCTTGATAAACAATCGATTATTCAATTATGACTAAAATGCCTTCTCAAAGAATAAAACAAAGAATAATACCATCTTGTACCTTTCTTTTCTGCCTTGTTAATTGTCCTGCTGGGACGTCTCTGTCAAAAATTTATACTTATGAATATAATAATGCTTCTGGAGATTGCTCACAATAGATATATATATATATCAAAAGCGCATTAATAATATGAGTGTTAATTAAACAAACTTGAAGTACTGCTTATACACCCTCACGTCACCACATAGAGCTTGGAGCATAGGTCGACGGGGGGAGCATTCTGCATCATTCCTACTCATCTGTGTGGCATTCTTCACCCACTGCGTTTTTGCGTTCTCCTCTGCTCGTCCAACAGATATACGTACTAACTGGGACCTTGACCAATAGATGAGGCTTGATGGACAAGGCTGTTCCGAATGATTCTTAGTAACATTGCACAATACGTGTCAAACTCTGATCTGAAATCAAAATTTTGGTGGCTCCAGTAGACCGAGCACAGACAACTGAAACTGCACCAGCTACTGAATGAAACTGAATTCTGACATTCTTTTGGGGGTTTGCACTGGGGGAATGAAGTGGATTCCTACTATCCCCAATGGTCAAGTAAATAATAAGGTCACTACCACTCAATACTGGCCTGGGACCAAAGTAACAACACCCAGCAGATCACACAGTAAGGGACCATCACTCTCCCCGTTACCGCCTCAAGACGGCGACAACGACCCGACATCTCTTCCTGGGAATTTACAAAGAGGTTTAGGTATATAAAGGGAGTGGTATTTAGTAAGGACAAGTATGTATGTTACACATAACAGTACTATTAGTAGGCGCCACAGTACCACAGGCGCGCATAGTACTATTTTAGATAGAGCGTTTTTACTTACAGTCATCATTGTATATTGCACTTGTTGTTCTCGAGGAATACAATTTGGTCCTACCAACGTCTGGACCGATGCCAATGTAAGGCTGCACCAAGCTGGCCCTGGCACTCAGTGTGTCTGGGTGTTCAGTGCCTAGGAGCTGCTCCCTGGCCTTCAGCACCTGCACCTCCAGTTGTTCTGCATCAGTCCATCTACCCAGTTGACAATATGTGGCAGCCAAGCTGGCCCTGGCACTCAGTGTGTCTGGGTGTTCAGTGCCTAGGAGCTGCTCCCTGGCCATCAGCACCTGGACCTCCAGTTGTTCTGCATCAGTCCATCTACCCAGTGGACAATATGTGGCAGCCAAGCTGGCCCTGGCATCCAGTGTGTCTGGGTGTTCAGTACCTAGGAGCTGCTCCCTGGCCTTCAGCACCTGCACCTCCAGTTTTTCTGCATCAGTCCATCTACCCAGTTGACGATATGTGGCAGCCAAGTTGGCCCTGGAACTCAGTGTGTCTGGGTGTTCAGGGCCTAGGAGCTGCTTACTGGCCTTCAGCACCTGGACCTCCAGTTGTTCTGCATCAGTCCATCTACCCAGTTGACAATATGTGGCAGCCAAGCTGGCCCTGGCACTCAGTGTGTCTGGGTGTTCAGTGCCTAGGAGCTGCTCCCTGGCCTTCAGCACCTGGACATCCAGTTGTTCTGCATCAGTCCATCTACCCAGCTCATAATATGTGGTGGACAGGTTGGCCCTGGCACTCAGTGTGTCTGGGTGTTCAGTGCCTAGGAGCTGCTCCCTGGCCTTCAGCACCTGCACCTCCAGTTTTTCTGCATCAATCCATCTACCCAGTCGACGATATGTGGCAGCCAAGCTGGCCCTGGCACTCAGTGTGTCTGGGTGTTCAGTGCCTAGGAGCTGCTCCCTGGCCTTCAGCACCTGCACCTCCAGTTGTTCTGCATCAGTCCATCTACCCAGTCGATGATATGTGGCAGCCAAGTTGGCCCTGGCACTCAGTGTGTCTGGGTGTTCAGTGCCTAGGAGCTGCTCCCTGGCCTTCAGCACCTGGACATCCAGTTGTTCTGCATCAGTCCATCTACCCAGCTCATAATATGTGGTGGACAGGTTGGCCCTGGCACTCAGTGTGTCTGGGTGTTCAGTGCCTAGGAGCTGCTCCCTGGCCTTCAACACCTGCACCTCCAGTTTTTCTGCATCAATCCATCTACCCAGTCGACAATATGTGGCAGCCAAGTTGGCCCTGGCACTTAGTGTGTCTGGGTGTTCAGTGCCTAGGAGCTGCTCCCTGGCCTTCAGCACCTGCACCTCCAGTTGTTCTGCATCAGTCCATCTACCCAGTCGATGATATGTGGCAGCCAAGTTGGCCCTGGCACTCAGTGTGTCTGGGTGTTCAGTGTCTAGGAGCTGCTCCCTGGCCTTCAGCACCTGGACATCCAGTTGTTCTGCATCAGTCCATCTACCCAGCTCATAATATGTGGTGGACAGGTTGGCCCTGGCACTCAGTGTGTCTGGGTGTTCAGTGCCTAGGAGCTGCTCCCTGGCCTTCAACACCTGCACCTCCAGTTTTTCTGCATCAATCCATCTACCCAGTCGACAATATGTGGCAGCCAAGTTGGCCCTGGCACTTAGTGTGTCTGGGTGTTCAGTGCCTAGGAGCTGCTCCCTGGCCTTCAGCACCTGCACCTCCAGTTGTTCTGCATCAGTCCATCTACCCAGTCGATGATATGTGGCAGCCAAGTTGGCCCTGGCACTCAGTGTGTCTGGGTGTTCAGTGCCTAGGAGGTGCTCCCTGGCCTTCAGCACCTGCAGCTCCAGTTGTTCTGCATCAGTCCATCTACCCAGTTGATGATATGTGGCAGCCAAGCTGGCCCTGGCACTCAGTGTGTCTGGGTGTTCAGTACCTAGGAGCTGCTCCCTGGCCTTCAGCACCTGCAGCTCCAGTTGTTCTGCATCAGTCCATCTACCCAGTTGATGATATGTGGCAGCCAAGCTGGCCCTGGCACTCAGTGTGTCTGGGTGTTCAGTACCTAGGAGCTGCTCCCTGGCCTTCAGCACCTGCACCTCCAGTTGTTCTGCATCAGTCCATCTACCCAGTTGATTATATGTGGCAGCCAAGTTGGCCCTGGAACTCAGTGTGTCTGGGTGTTCAGTGCCTAGGAGCTGCTCACTGGCCTTCAGTACCTGCACCTCCAGTTGTTCTGCATCAGTCCATCTACCCAGTTGACGATATGTGGCAGCCAAGTTGGCCCTGGAACTCAGT